CACGAAACGTTGGCATTCCAAGAATGGATTTGAACACGGAGAAAACCCGCGAAACACAAGATTGTCTCTCTTTCATTAAATTATTCTTGAAATTTTTATCTTGATGATTATACAGGTGAGGATAACCTCTAACGCAGTCAATAAGCAATTCGTTGGTTGATTTATCCGTACCATTGTCCATCACTTCATTAACCATCACTTCATTGTCCATCACTTCATTGTCCATCACTTCATTATCCATCACATGTTGTCCTTCACTTTCTTGAAATGAATAAAACATGTTACCTAAGCAGTATCTGTGATCACTCATTTATAAAAACAAAGCACATTGCTCTTGATATGTAATTTCAATCGCAATGTATGAGTATATAACCTCAAAATTTGCATCAACAAATAAAATTTCAAGAACATATCGAGTTTAAATGCGAGAAGACATATGATTGGTTGTACGTAAGACATAAATCGTACGAATTTCATCCTTACGAAATTTTTCACCGTTACGGTTTACGTCTTTCGTCGAAATATGTAGAGGGGAATAGTCGACTCTGATTGGTGGATTTCCTTACGATTTACGTTTTACGTCTTCCGTCGATTCGTGTGTGAAGGCCTTTATCAGTACTACAACCGCTCTCTAAGCGTTCAGTGCGAGCTCTTGTATCTGTCTATATTTTCTAATGGAATATGCCAATCAGATGCAAGTGATGCAATAGCTCACTGAGCGCTTAGTGAGCGGTTGTAGTACTGAATGCACCCTATGTAAAGTCACTAGAATCTAGTGACTTTAACCTATCGTCGGTATCGTTGCAGTGCCGAAAACTTAAAAACTTAACTACATACTGCCTACTCTGTTGGTAATATGTACATAAAATTAAGAAAGAAGAATAACAAGTCAGAAATACAAAATTATCGTATTTTGGCGTACGATAATGAAGTGCTATCGTACATCGTACATATAAGTAAAATTATCGTATGTGTACGATAATTATCGTACGGTTGCTAACACTGATAAAGGACCACTTCTACCACCAGCAGACCGAAGCACAGCCGAGCACGCGTACGAGTAGTAAACTTCACATAGTGCCAATAATAACAAATGTGTGATTAAGAAGTGACAAACTTTTATTATGTATTTGAAATTAGAGTAATTGTGTTTCTTTTTAGCACGAGAGAGACGTGTGGTGTTATTTTCATACGCGTGCTGTGTCGCGCGGTTAGTTGTCGCACTTCCTATTCGTTCTCGTCAGTACTTGTTTGTACTTGTTTGTACAGTGGGGTTTTACTGATCTTGTTGAAGTATTTGCAAGTAAGTAAAGAATATAACCTGTTTATGTAACCTTAATTATGCTTTCCCAGACAACAAAAAGTGTCTCAAAACGAGTCATAAAACGTTTTTTGCATCTAAAAGACGACTTATGTCACAATTTTAAATTTTGTGTTGTTTAGGTTATGTAATGCATAACCTTTTATTGTATTTTTATCGGGAAATTTGTTCATGATATTTCTAAAAATGTAGTGTATAGCTGCTTTCCATTTACACCGATTCTCAGATAATTCTCACTTGTGACGTCATAACTCAGTTGAATGCGCATTCCTTTTGCATTCTGACAAGTGAGATTCAACTGAGTTTTTACCCATAATAGCCCGGGAGATGATGACACTAAAATGGTCATGATTTGTTACCGCTTGAAATCATCGTCATAATTCGTCATAATTCGTCATTTATTAGGTAAACTTGCGTTTCCTGCATGTTTACCTAATAAATGACGAATTATGACGATTTCAAGCGGTAACAAATCATAACCATTTTAGTGTCATCATCTCCCGGACTATAATCTGCATAAGATCGAGACCGTGTGCTTTAGTGAGTCTCGTAAACTCACTTCAAAGTGAGGTTATGAACCTGTGTTGACATGTGATAATTTTTTACCAAAGTAAGCAAGTAGTGACGTCATTAATCTGAGTATAAAATACTCAGCTCACTTTAGACTCAGTTTTACTTGTGCGTAAATGGAAAGCAACTTATGTAACATGAACTATACTTCGTCTTGTATAGTTCATGTTACATACACTACATTTTTAAAAATACTCAAACACATTTTGTTACATATTTGTTTGTACGATAAAAATCAGATGAGAATACGTGTCATTCTTTAAAATCTTATATACACTTTTTGATATGCAGGTGGAGAAATTGACTTCCATAAAACGTAACAACTACTTTCAACTAAACAACTTTATTCTATGAGGTTGATTATATTAT